CTGCAACAAAGATAAGTTGGAGATATTAATGGGCCCATAAAGTCTTGGTGCATATACATAAGAAAAGCCTTATTTCTTCAGCTATACAGTTATCTTACACACTAACAACTAAACTGGTTTAATTATTAAAAATAATTGCTATGATAAGGATAACATCAATAATATTAATTAAAAAGCTCTTGGAAAACACTATCCATCTCTTATGCCCTGAAAGCCAGTATCAAAACATGTGTCTACAACATGAAAAAAAAAATTCCTAGCTGACCTATTTTTTATGATAAATTGTACAGTGTCTTTGATCCTAGTCTATACATGGATCCAATTCACCATTAAAATCTACTTAACTAAGTAACTAAGACAGCGGCCATGGTCTTCCAACCTTTTTTTTTTCTTTAATGAACCAAGAAACCAACTGGCAACTGGAAAATGCAAGCATATTTTTTTTCTGCTCTTCGGTAGAGGTAATGATAATAATAATAATTATGATAATTAAAACATCAATAGTAATGATGATGATGATATATGATGATGGATAGGATGTTGGATATGATATGATGATAGTATGATTATGGATATGATGAGGGATGATGGATGATGATGCTGACAGACGATGATGAAGGATGACAGATAATGATGATGATGATGATGATAATGATAATGATAATGATAATGATGACGATGACAAGACGAGTGATAAGGATAGGGAAAAGGAGAAGGGTAGGGAGGAGAAGAGGGGTAAGGGAGGGGGAGGGGGAGGGGGAGGGGGAGGGGAGGAGGGGAGAGGAGGGGAGAGGAGGGGAGAGGAGGGGAGAGGAGGGGAGAGGAGGGGAGAGGAGGGGAGAGGAGGGGAGAGGAGGGGAGAGGAGGGGAGAGGAGGGGAGAGGAGAGGAGAGGAGAGGAGAGAAGAGGAGAGGAGAGGAGTGGAGAGGAGTGGAGAGGAGTGGAGAGGAGTGGAGAGGAGAGGAGTGGAGAGGAGTGGAGAGGAGAGGAGAGGAGGAGAGGAGAGGAGAGGAGAGGAGAGGAGAGGAGATGAGAGGAGATGAGAGGAGATGAGATGAGAGGAGAGGAGAGGAGAGGAGAGGAGAGGAGACCAGAGAGAAAATAATAATAATAATCCCAACAACAACAATGAAAATGATGACAATAATGGTAATGATAAAACAATAACAATACCAACAGTATATAATGAACCAAGTGTTAGTGTTGGTGGTGTTGATGTTAGTGAAGCTATGTATATAGTATACTGTTCTATCTAATACTAATTACGAATTGTAAACTACATAATTCTGAAATACGCGTTAGACATTGAGTTTGTATAACAAGGTTTCCCACAAGCATTCCGTTCCGTTTTCCCAAAAGAATGTTCAGTATCAAAGTCTGTACAAAAATCTCTGTAGGTTGCTGATGCAATAATCTCCCTTTTCATTTACGACTGTGTGTAACCGCGCTTGTGCGTGAGCGGGATTGGGTACAATCGAGCACCTCTGTCTTTGTCTCAACAAGTTTCTCGCGCATAAAAATTAGCATGCTGGCGAAACCCGTCAGGATCAGCCAATCAATTTCGCCGGCGAGTCTCGCCAAAGGAACTCCGCAGTGCCTGGCCGTCATTCGAAGCCCCCCATGCTTCCTCCACATGGCCGCGCACACCGCCCGCAACTCGCAAGTCTCTCGGCGTCGATTTAATGAATAATGCCTCAAGAAAGTGTCAGCTTCTGCGGACGTTGAGGCGCCCACATGTGCTTTATCTGACAGCAGATCCATTCGGTTACAGCGCTACCCATACAGAAGGTTTGGTTTAGTTTAGTTTGATTCCATTTGTTACAATGGATATTCTTGGTGGGACATAGTGTCCGTTTCATTTTGCATTGAAATTATCCCCTATGTGCAAGGAATGGCCGTGCAAGGAATGGCGGCGATGATTTGAACGCAGGTCAACAAGACTGCTTGACGAGATCGCTACCACTGCACCATACACTAAATCAATTACAAAACCTAATATCATTCATATACAGACGACATAAACCTTATTCCGAAAATGCAATGAGCTTACCACACGCACTTTATTACAGGAAGAAATAATATGCGACAACCCAGCCATTTCCCCACAGCGGCATCGCCCGAACGTCGCACAAAAAGCAAATTCAGCAGAGCTCAACGGCGCACCTCCGCCCTCGAGTGACCCGATGGGCATCGTCGCCGCCTGTTCGGAGTAGTCGCTGCGTAATGTAACTCTCGCACCGTTGGCGTCCGCTCGGCCGCTCCCTGCCCCTACCCCATGCCTACCTTCGTCTCCATACCCCCTTCCGTCTCTCCTATTCTCAACCAACTAACTTTCCTTGCCCCACCCCAATCCCCTGCCCTGCCCCCGTCCCTCACCCCTGCCAAACGTGCAAGGAATACCAATGCCCGAGAGGATGGGTGAACACTGCACAGGGTGCACCATCATGCTCACATGGCCGCCCGCCCCTGACCCAGCCCTGCAGGCACCGACTCGCCCCTCGCCTGGCCGGAGGAAGAGGAGGGAGGGAAGGAGATGAGACGGAGACATAAGCAAGGGGAGAAGTGGAAGAGATGGAAGAGGAAGAATAGGAAGAGGAGGCGAAGGAGGAAGGGGGAAGGAGGGAGGGAGGAGAGAGGAGGGAGGAGGAAGGGGGAAGGGGGACGGAGGGAGGAGGAAGGGGGAAGGGGGGAGAAGGGGGGAAGGAGGGAGGAGGAAGGGGGACGGAGGGAGGAGGAAGGTGGGAGGAGGGAGGAGGAGGGAAGGGGGACGGAGGGAGGAGGAAGGGGAGGAGGAGGAGGAAGGGGGAAGGAAGGAGGAGGAGGGGGGAAGGAGGGAGGAGGAAGGGGGAAGGGGGAAGGAGGGAGGAGGAGGGGGGAAGGAGGGAGGAGGAGGGGGAAGGAGGGAGGAGGAAGGGGGAAGGAGGGAGGAGAGGAGGGAGGAGGGAGGAGGAGGGGAGGAGGAAGGAGGAGGAAGGGGGGAAGAGGGAGGAGGAAGGGGGAAGGGGGAAGGAGGGAGGAGGGAGGAGGAAGGGGGAAGGAAGGAGGAGGGAGGAGGAAGGGGGAAGGGGGAAGGAGGGAGGAGGAGGAGGAAGGTGGAGGAGGGAGGAGGAGGGGGAAGGAGGGAGGAGGAAGGGGGAAGGAGGGAGGAGGAAGGGGGAAGGAGGAGGAAGGGGGAAGGAGGGAGGAGGAGGGGAGGAGGAGGAGGGGGGAAGGAGGGAGGAGGAAGGGGGAAGGAGGGAGGAGGAAGGGGGAAGGAAGGAGGAGGGAGGGGAAGGGGAAGGAGGGAGGAGGAAGGGGGAAGGAAGGAGGAGGAAGGGGGAAGGAGGAGGAAGGGGGAAGGAGGAGGAAGGGGGAAGGAGGGAGGAGGAAGGGGAAGGAGGAGGAAGGGGAAGGAGGAGGAAGGGGGAAGGAAGGAGGAGGAAGGGGAAGGAGGAGGAAGGGGGAAGGAGGGAGGAGGAAGGGGGAAGGAGGAGGAAGGGGGAAGGAGGAGGAAGGGGAAAGGAGGAGGAAGGGGAAGGAGGAAGGAGGGAGGAGGAAGGGGGACGGAGGGAGGAGGAAGGGGGAAGGAGGGAGGAAGAGGAGGAGGGAAGGGGAGGGAGAGGAGGAGGGAAGGGGAGGGAGAGGAGGAGGGAAGGGGAGGGAGAGGAGGAGGGAAGGGGAGGGAGAGGAGGAGGGAGGAGGAGGAGGAAGGGGAGGGAGGAGGTGGAGGGAGGAGGAGGTGGAGGAGGAGGAGGAGGAGGTGGGAGGAGGAGGAGGAGGGAGGAGGGAGGAGGAGGAGGAGGAGGAGGAGGAGGAGGAGGGAAGAGGAGGGAAGAGGAGGGAAGAGGCGGAGGAGGAGGAGGAGGAGGAGGAGGAGGAGGAGGAGGAGGAGGAGGAGGAGGAGGGAAGGGGAGGGAGGAGGTGGGAGGAGGAGGAGGAGGAGGTGGGAGGAGGAGGAGGAGGGAGGAGGGAGGAGGAGGAGGAGGAGGAGGAGGAGGGAAGAGGAGGGAAGAGGAGGGAAGAGGCGGAGGAGGAGGAGGAGGAGGAGGAGGAGGAGGAGGAGGAGGAGGAGGAGGAGGAGGAGGAGGAGGAGGAGGAGGAAGGGGAGGAGGAAGGGGAGGAGGAAGGGGAGGAAGGGGGGGAGGGGAGGGAGGGGAGGGGTGTAGGGATGCAGATGCAGGCAAAGAAAGAGAGATAACAAAGGGGGAACAGGGGGAACGAGAACATACAAAGAAAATAAGAGAGAGTCGAGGCCAGAGAGAGGAAAGAGAAAGCAAGGTGCACAAGAGAGCGCCGGCCAGCCCCGTCTCGAGAGGCGAGAGGGGCCACGCCGCCTCCCCAGTCCCCACTCCGCCGCCGCCATTATTGCAAAGCGTGACACGAGATCCTTTCAAATACATAATCACTGTGGCGGAAAAAAAGTGAAAATCCGTAATCTACTCGTATGAATGTAATTATAACAATACAGTGCCCGCAACGCTTTAGTTCAGCCTGTCAGTCACGGTATTAAAGAAACTTAATATTTACTATTGATGGCCACTGGGTCGCGTGATGACTGATGATGATCGCCCGTCACAAAATAGCAACACTCAGGTCCCAGTTCCTCCTTCCACGTTCTGTCTCTCGGTCTCTCTACTTGGCCGATATGAAATTAAAATGTCGTGGTCCTTTGGTTTAGGACGACCACTCCCCTCCCTCTCCCTTCCTTCCCGCCCCTCCACTCCCCCCCGCTGAATGCATTAAGGAATACTGCCTCTTGGAGGAAGGCCAACGCAAATATTTACGCAAGGTATGTTTGTATCAGCCACTACACGCCTTTCTCTTGGAGAAGTAACTGGGAGAGGCAAGGTTACGGAAAAGCAACCGGGTGTAAAGGAAGCACTCCGGGGAACCCTCTTGCTGGCGTCTCCTCCGGAGGCAAACATGTCCAAACGCGTTTGCACGAACGCGACGCAGAGAAACTCGACGCCATTAGGTTTGAGTTGGGTGGAAAAAAAAGGGGGTGGGGGAGAGGGAGAGGG